TATTTTTAATGGAATTAAATTAAAATTATGTATATAGATAGATAGATATACATATAATTTTATTTAATTTTTTTATAAAAAGTAATAAAAGTATTGGTACGTATTGTCTATTGAACTGTCTTTGAATTTAATTTGCATGAATTCAGTTTACATTTAAATAAAAAAATTTAATTGTAAAAGAAAAACAGTAAAAAAAAAAAAATTCTAATAGAGTAATGAGACCCTAATTAGAATCGCAATTAATGAAAAAAAAACGTGTTGTTTTGTAATGAGAATTTATTCAAATGCATTCATGTTTAATATACGAATGTGTTTTTGTTTTTTTTTTGATTGCAGGGGAAAATTTAAAGGGATAGTTCACCCAAAATGAATTCTGTCATCATTTACTCACCATCAATGAATTTCTTTCTTCTGATGAACACAAAATAAGATTTTTGATGAATGTTTGTAACCAAACAGTTTCTGGTCCCCTTTGACTTCCATAGTATTTTTTTTCCATATTATGGAAGTCAATTCATTCTAACATTCATTAAAATAACTTTTTATGTTCAACAGAAAACTCGTACAGGTTTGGAACAATTTGAGGGTGAGAAAATGTTGACAGAATCTTCATTTTTGGGTGAACTATCCCTTTAATCCAGAAATGTTTACATGAGATTCACACATATTCGATTTAAAATAAAAGAATATTCATGCCCTGTAGTCATAAATAACGCTCTTCAGAAAGGTTCATCCAACTAACACTCAAACTCAACACCACTTTATGGTGAACGGTCATCTAACATCACTGTTGTGTTGCAGAACGCCAAGCGCGCGAGTGCAGCCGCCGCTCCTCTGGCCGCGTGGGTGAAGGCCAACGTCCAGTACTCTCACGTTCTGGAGAAGATCCAGCCGCTGGAGACCGAGCACGCCCGACTGATGGAGTCAGTGCACACATCAGCAAACCTCTGCTCACAGCGAGATTCTCTCTCTCACACTGTCTCTGTGTTCTGTCCAGAAACCTGCGGAAGACGGAGAACCGTAAGAACAGGCTGGAAAAAGAGCTGAACTCTGTAGGAGAGAAAGTTCTGGAGCTGAAGGAGAAGTAAGACACTTGATTCCGACTGAGTTTGATATTAGCATTTGGCTAAAATAGAACACAATCTTTTATTTGAAAATTTTCATGCACTCAAAATAGTCCACTTTTTATTATATTTCTAAGATTATAGATTATTTTTATTATATTATTTTATTTAATTTTTTTATTTAGTTTAATAAGACTACTTTTATTGAAACTTTTTTTTTCTAATTATATTTTTATCAGTTTTATTTTAATTTCTTTTTATTGTTTTATTTTATTTAGTTTAAGACTACTTATAGTTATTGAAACTTTTAGTGTAGAATTCATCCATTTTGTTCACGATTAACATGTTTTCATTATTGTAATTATATATATTTATATTTTAATCAATTTTATTTAAATTGTTTGATTTAGTTTAATAAAATATCTTTTATTGAAACTTTCATATAGAATTCATCCATTTTGGTTGAACATTTTCACTGAAATTGCTGATATGTATTCCATTGTTATTTAAGAATCATTGCTATTCTGTTATAGTTTTGATATTATATTCTGAATTAGATTTTATTTTAATATTTTCTTTTTGCACTTTAATTTTAGTTACAATTTTAGTAATTTTGTTTTTTTTGTCATTTTTATTATAATTTTTAAATTATATCTATATAGTTTTTATTGCGTTTTAGTTTTTAGACTTAGTTTATTTAGTTTTAGTTATTTACTTAAACCATAAGAAAGTGAGAAATGTTACCTTGGCCACTAAATAAGATGAATTACATTTTATTTTATTTCGGTTAATGTTTATTTCACTATAGTTTAGTTAGTGATGATAACCCTGGTGCATTCTGGGATTGTGTTCTTCACAATTGATGCATATGATACACTGTGAGCATGTCCTAGATGCCTTAAAAGGTAGGCAGCTCACTAGGTTTTGTGTGTGTGTGCGACGTCTCGTCCAGGTTTCAGTGTCGTACGACTGAAGCGGCTAAACTGGAGTCAGAGGTGAGCAGAGCACAAGAGACCATCAGCGCAGCCGAGAAGCTCCTGCAGCAGCTGGACGGAGAACACACACGCTGGACCGCACAGGTGTGTGTGTGAGAGAGAGAGAGAGAGTGTTTGGTTGCTCTTGCTGTATATGTATCTCTCCCTCCATCTGCTTCCTGCTGTAATTAAATCTCATGCTCTCACGTCTGAAGACAAACACACATACAAACATGCAGCCAAAGAATCTCTTTAGAGCACAAGTGTCTGTCGTGTGTGTGTGTGTGTAGGTGGATGAGATCAGTGAGGAGCTGGACACTCTTCCTAAGAGAGCTCAACTGTCTGCTGCTTTCATCACGTATCTGCCTGCCGCTCCTGAAGACCAGCGGCGCAGCAGCCTCGACCACTGGATGAGCAGCTCAGGACTACAGAGTAACACACACACACACACACACACACACA